ATAAAACCATTTTTATGGTCTTAATATCAAAACCTAATAGGCAATGAACGTCGACAAACTGCTACTATTAATTTGCTGTTTCTTATAATGATAAATAAGCTCACCAGTTCCAGAAACTACGAAAAAACTCCCGCACTCCAAAAGTGTAAAATTTAAGCAAGATTTCCAGGTTGAAGAGAGCCAAGAACGCAACCTCGAGATCATTGGTGTCAAGAGCAATGAAGATGGCATTGGCAAAAATAACTATGTCGAAAAAGTACACAAAAAACCTGTGAACCAGAAATAAACGAATAAAATGTGAAATTCTTGATTACCGGACACATCAAAAGAACGAAAAAATATCATACATCATAACAATGTTTCAATTTTAAATGACATGCAACTTTACCATAGGTGAGACCCGATGATAATGATTATAATGATGATGATGATGAAGATGGAGATGATAAAAAGACTTACCTGTGACAGACGATTTGTTTAACTTTGTTGCTAAACCATGATAAGTAAATCTTAGGCATGACTCTTTCAAGTAAATGCACTTGATCTGAAACTTCCAAAACCTCTACATTTAGCAGGTCTGCAAGCATCAGGAAATTTTCGCGCCCTTGGAAATGATCAAAGAAAAAAATCAGAAACCGAGGCAGCGTTTCTAGACGAAATAAATAAAAAAGCGCTTTTCCTGCTTTACAAACCGCAATAACATCGTGTGTATCAATTCGATACACATTCGATCAACCCTATATATACATGACAAGGCAATTCGATACAAATTTGATCCACCATATATACATAACAAGTCAATGCGATATAAATTCGATCCACCCTATATATACTTAACAAGTCAATTCGATACACATTCGATACACATTCGATCCACCCAATATATACATAACAACAAATTCGATCTACCCTATATATATATGTGCGTATCGAGTTTTTGACGCTCAAGTGTTGCGTGAATCCTTGCTATTATAAATTCCATAATGTTTGACGATAATTCAATTGGCGTACACACGGAAAAGGCACCAAAAATTATCACAATCTGTGTCGTTAGACTATAATACTGTACCGCACTAGGTACACTATCACACTAGTTAGACTATGATACTGTACCGCACTAGGTACACTATCACACTAGTTAGACTATGATACTGTACCGCACTAGGTACACTATCACACTAGTTAGACTATGATACTGTACCGCACTAGGTACACTATCACACTAGTTAGACTATGATACTGTACCGCACTAGGTA